AGTGAGCTGCATGAATATGGGGTGCAACCCAAAACCCCAAAAAAACGAAAAAAAAAAAAACTAAACCCTAAGCCTTAAATGAACCCTAAACCCTAAACCCCTAAACCCAAAACCCTAAACGCAGACAAAAAAAATGAAAGAAGACCCTAAACCCTACAGCCTAAGCCCTAAATGAACCCTAAACCCTAAACCCTAAACCCTAAACCCTAAACCCTAAACCCTAAACCCTAAACCCTAAACCAAACAAAAAACTCTCCGGAAGCCGAGGCTCGGCCACGGGCGCCAGTGAACTCGGAGGCCCCAGGAAGAATTCCACGCCTCGGCTTCGGGGTTTGGGGATTTAGGGTTTAGGGTTTAGGGTTTAGGGTTTAGGGTTTAGGGTTTAGGGTTTAGGGTTTGGGATTTATAGGGCTTAGAGTTTAGGATGTAGGGTCTATGGTTTATTTATGGTTTTGGGGTTTATTTGGGGTTTATTTAGGGGCTTATTTGGGGCTTAGGGGTTAGGGTTTAGGGTTTAGGGTTTAGGATTTAGGGTTCATTTAGGTCTTAGGGTTTAGGGTTTAGGGTTTGTTTAGGGCTTAAGGTTCCGGGTTTCGGGCCTATAGAGTTTATTTAGTCTTTGAGGTTTAGGGTTTAGGTAAAGTTTAGGATTTAGGTTTCGGGTTTAGCGCTTTTCTGGTTCCTTAGAGGTTGGGTTTATGGTGTAGGGTTTCTTTAGGTCTAGGGTTTGCGGTTTCGGGTCTAGGGTCTAGGGCTTAGAGGCTTAGGGGTGTTTAAAGTTTTGGGTTGGGCGGGAACCTCTAGGGTTTCTATCTTATTTTTGTTTAAAGGGCTCTATCCGGGAGTGTTAGCTCAGAGAACCCAAGTCTAGGGCAGGCGCAGCGACTTCTAACGGTTCTTCTCGGACTTCGGGCGCTGGGTTTAGGGTTTGGGGTTTACGTGTTCTACAGACTTCTGTGGGCCAGGAGAAGTCCCTCCGAACCGAAAGCCCCCAAAAACGGCAAGATGTTTGCCAACAGAAACCCCCACGTCCCTAAACCCTAAGCAAGCCCAAACCCCTACACCCAAAACACCTCCATCGGCACAGTGGCCGTGAAATCGAAACCCCAAAGCCCTTAACCCCCCCCCAACACCCAACCCCTCCTTTACCCCCCTCCTCACCCCACCCCACATATAAAGTCCCATGGGCCGTAATCGTACGCCAGCCGCTGCGTCGCCGCGCGCAGCGTTGGCGCGCCGGCATCCAGGACAAAGAGCTCCACGCGGTGCCGGGCAGAGGTGCGGCCTTCGGTGCTTGGGGCTTTGGTGTCTTTGGGGGTTTCGGGAGGGGGGGTTCGATGTGTGTAGGGTTGCAGGTTGGGATCTTGGGGTTGAGGATGTTCGCGGCTCTGGGTTTCTGGGATTTTCGTGGTTTTTGGGTTTGGGGTTTAGGGTTCTGGGTCTGGGAACTACCCAAATGAATCTTAAGATTCGCATCGACAAGGTGCAGAGTCCACCGCGAACGCTGTTGAACCATTGGAACCTCGGCTAGAGTCTCAGAGATCAAGGCCACTGCAAGGGCCTTTTTATTGGTTAGAATACGATCTTACAGGGTCCTTTAGGCTTTGTGTGTGAATAATTCGAGACAGGGGCCATAATGGTCAGAAAGGGGTGTACATACACATATATGTATATGGATTTTACTAGGGAGCATGCTTACAGATTATTCAACCTCTAGATCAGGCTTCTCGAAAGGTGCTGAGACTTTCTGCAACAGCTTTCTGCAACAGCTTGCCACATTTCTACGGATCTAACGTTGCTTTGAGCTTCGACTTCTCAGGCTATACATTAGGGTTTAGGGGTTTAGGTGTTTCGGGGTTAGGGCTTCGGGCTTAGCGCTTGGGGTTTAGATACATCGGGTCTCCCTGTTCGCTGCTTCAGAGCTGAAAGGCATGATGCGCAGGGCTGACAGCTTGACGTTTGGAAGTCTGCTGATACTGGGTTTGTGGCCGGAGGCGTATTGAAATAAATATATTCTATTCTTTTCCGTTCTATGTGTAGTATGTATATATATATATATATATGGTCACCCCCCCCAAGATCCACACCCGCCTCTTCCGTACGACTGCACAGGTTGCTTCCCTACATTGGTACATGACATAGGCACACCGAAAGCACCGTAAATAACGATACAATCGTGCCTTTCGCCATGTGCATGCAAATCGCGCTGATATATGTCGCCGGCTTGATATGCGTCTAAATCCGGTACCGAATCTCGGTCCCAACTTAATGATAGTTTCTGTGTTGGAGAAGCTGAAATGCTGGAGGGTGTGCTAGTTGTGTTAATGTGGCGCTCAAAAACCTAGTGTTTTTTGCGTTTTCTAGTGTTGTATTGCGTGTTCTTTAACAGCCTTGCTATTACCAAAAAATGCTACACACTCTTTTCGAACATATGATCTGTTTCCCGCTGCGCGTGATGTCTCCGATCACGTGCTACACATGACAAAAAGTAGCTCGACATCTCAACGGTCAGGATGCCCTAAACCAGCATATTGCCGGCGACCTCCCACATATTGCGCCTAACGAAGCAATACACGAACTGTGCAGCTCGGATTTTGCCGGATTTTATTCATAGGTATCCCATCCCCAAAATCATCATGCAATT